GCTAAGTTTGGTTATTCAAATTTGTCCCTGAAGGGTTTTTTGTCTGTGTATTTGTTTGTATTTTTCAAGACAATTCAAGTTCGTCTGAAACATCTTTGAGATTAATGTCACCTTGCCTGTGGTTAGATTTCTTGCTGAATTTGCTCTCTTCCAATCACCCCTTCAGAACTTGCAAAAAAACCCAAAAAAACAACCAAATAAAATCAAGAAAAAGGATTGAGTTCTGGCACAATATTTTCTTACACTTGCAGTTTTACGAATTTTATGCCTAACTTAACTAAAATGCTCCACTACAGCAGAAAAATGAGTAAAAGTCTTATCTACCTCAATTCCATCCCAGTAAGCTCCAGAACTAGTTTTGCTGTTCATAAATCAGTTTTACTTTAGCTTAATGGGGTTTAAAAACAAGTATTTGCTGATAATTTGAGAAAGGTCACTTATATTGTTCAGCAGTATTTGGCATGAGCAAACTGAAGTCTGAAATACGTTCGCTGAGCAGAAAGCAAGTTCAATCAACTCTCCTCCCCAGTAAGGATTTATCAGATTAATTCAAAAATTATGATGCATAACCTAATCAGAAATTAATTTAAATTTCCTCAAAGGTAAAGTAATAATATTACAGTGGTTGATTAATGAAATAGACCGCGTTTTAATCTGGGAAATTCCTAATTGTCCTTAGTGCTAAAATAAGTATATCCAACAGGAATCAATCAGGTAGGTAGATTTCTTGAAATACAACTGCAATTACAATTATGTAATATTGCTGTCATCATTAACTGAATATATTTTAATAACCCCACCAAAATATTTAATCTCAAAAATCATGGTAGACCTATATGGCACACCTCACCTATCCCACTCCTCAGCAGGGCTAATGAGCCCAAGAAGCCTGTACTGCTGCATACTGTACGGCTTCCACCAGCTCAAGACAGCTCATTCACAACTAGTTTGTGTTTCTCTGTACAGCATTGTAGTGTGTAACCTAATCGTATCCTCAGAGAAACAAAGGCAATTTAGCAAAAAAGAGAGCACAGGTACAAACTCCACAGCATTCACCAAAACTAGCGTACGTCCTATGTGAATCATGTAACACTTGTATGACACACCAATGTCCACACAATGGACGTTGGCAGACATTCAACAGTTTAACAAGCACACACGTGCACCCATATATATATACACACTATAAGCCCCCAAAACACACTACTGAATGAAACGAGAAACCTGTATCCTGAGAGAACCTCACTTTGTGCTGGCTTCAGAAAATAAGTCCTTCCTCTCGTTTACTTCAGGATAGAAGAGATTTGACCATGGCTATACAAAGTTCATAGCTTCTTTATACATAATCAATCATTCTCCAGTGACCAGACAACTTAGGCTGATCTAATTCTAATTCTATAGCACCATAAAAACCTGGACCTATGTGTCATGCATGTACACATGCCAGCACCACATATATCTGCTTCACGTGATACCTACTTTTTTTAATGATATAGAAACATTTTCCCCAAACCAAACATCAGCAAATGCCTGGCTGCAGAACAATTACATCCTCCATTCTATTTTGGAAAACGTAAATAATAAGTCATATAATATCTGGTGACATATCACACACCTGGTCACAGTTTGTTAATAATCTTCTCCAAGTATTTTGGCGATAAAACCGAAAATCCATCCTTAAGAAACTCTTTGCCCCCTGGGATCAGATTTATATGACATACTGTATGCCCATTTAATAATTTCCAAGAACCCCTTCTGAACCCAGGATATAATGAAACCAAACATATTTTTATAGCCCACCAATAACTTCCTTAAAAAAGATTTACAGCAGATCTTAAGTTCTTAATGTCTATTTATGACATAAGTTCTAATGTCAGAAATAGCAAGATACTACTGTTTTCAAAGCCCTTTAAAAGAATTATCCAACCTCAAGACATAGGAAAACAGATACGTTGTTATTTCATAGAAAGAGAAACAGACCTAAACCCACACAATGTTACAATGGGGGATATATTTAGTGCTTGCTGAAAGCATCCTAACTGCTATTTTCCTGTATCTATATAGCTGGCACTCAATTCTTTACTGTTTTTCCAGAATTTTCCCCAACAGTGAATCCTTTATACTACATAAACTAAAGCTATTTTTAGTGATTGTCAGATTTGAAGACTACAAATCTCTGTAGTTATTGCACCTCCTCTTCTCAATTAAAACGTGTCCCCAAAGAACTTTGAAGAAGAGGCTGAATTAATAAACTGTTTAAGTGAACCAGAAGCAAGCCAATCCCTTATGAATACAGAGTCTGTAATTAGCCAAAATGCTCCCATTTTGCTATTCACAGTGAGGCTGAGGCTCAATAAAAATTAAACACTGATGCAAGCAAGGCATTCTCATGGGGCTCACATATATTAATACATTACCACTCACCAGTTGCTTTACGTCAAAGAAACCAGGACACAGCTTGAAATTGGCTGGCTGCCTATTTGATAAAATGGAAAGCTATCGGTGATAAGTATTTTCGCTTATTTTCATATCCCTAGTGTCATAAACAGGCTAAGTAAGTACTTAAATGTGGCTCCTAACAGTCACATGCTCATAATGGTGCCAAACAGATACGACTCAGGTTCTGACTGATCAGAGAATGACACTTCATAGATTCTGCATGGAGTCACAGTTACGCCTTTGGATCACCCCAAACCAATAATCCCTAGCACTGGCTCTTCCAAAACCTCTAAGGATGAGGCCATCAGTTTCTTAAAACCGTATCTGAATTTAGTTCTTAGCTTGATTAGGATGCAGTCAGCAGTCCACACTTCAGTGATAACCTTTCTAAGCAAAAATGCAGAATAATTTAGGTGGCTCCATTACTACTCTGCTGAAGGCAATTTATAGAAACTTGAATACATAGAATAAAATAGTTTGGAACTATGATTATTTGGACTTCAACGGGACAGAGTCAGGAGAACAATGAGTGTTTATGAAAACCCTCTTTCAAGCTACAGATAAGTAACCCATGAATGTATCAATCCTACAATTTATCAGGTCCTTCAAATCCCTCAGAAACTGAGGCACTCAGCATCTCTCTTGTGTCAAATTAAAATAAATACTGTATCAACTTTTCTATTCAGCCAGTTGAAAAACTTAAACTTTAAATATGTAGCTAATGAAATGTTTAGTTTACCAAAAAGTAAGCCACTGTTCAAAAAAAGGGTATTTCTAAACCCTGTACTACACCAATATCATCAGCTGATAAGGCTATAAAAGCACCTCAAGCTGCAACTGCAAAACGAACCACCGCCTTCGAAACGCATGTTCTAAAATGAATGGGCTGGTGTTCTGAAGCTTTAGTTCTTATCCAGAAATCCTCTAGGTTAACCTTTTATAATTTGTCTTACTCTGTCCTCACAAGGTCATCATGACTTCCACTTCTGCAGTAGAATCCAGCCTTTCATCAATGGAGTGTGGGGATCATTCAAAGAGCAAATGAACGCACATCGCCACTTGATGGCTTTAATTCTCATAAACTTCACAAATTCTAGGCTTTTTTATGCTCACCTTTCGCAGGAGAAAGCAAATACGCTCAATATTCCTTAGCCGCTCTCTCTGTCAAGAAAAAGTGGGAAAAAGGTAGGAGATTAGCTGGTGTTATAAATTAAAGACAATATATTACAATTACAATGGGTCAAGATCATAATTAATGGCTCCAGGGAAGCAACACACATTATTAATCTGAAACGATAGTATTCACTTCTTACCTACTGCTTGCAAGCCAAATGATTTACTCATTTCAAAGTCCCAATAAGTTATTTTTTCATCTGTTACTGAGTGAACAATATAAACAGGGGATTTAAGTCTGTGTTAGCCTTGAGCCAGAGGCTGCAACTTCTTTTAAGTCAGCATTTGTGGTTCTAACCAATGGTGCCAATCTATATCACAGAGACTTGGTCTTGCATTTTCAGGTTCCCAACCTCTGGCTTCAAGATAATTCTGAATGGGAAAAACAACTACGAAGTTGGTATGGCAGCCCTTCCTCTATCACTGAGAGGGTGCCTCAGCAACATGTGATATTAGAATTTAACCCATTAGTGAAGAATATCTGAAATGTCCTAGAAATGCCACTTCAAACAACAGATGCATTCATAAATACTGAAAGTCACTGTAATTAAGCACTGTAACTCAAAAGATGCACTAAGCTCGATTCATAGAAAGAAGACAAGTCAAAGACATTTTCTCAAAAATGAGAAATCCACTAGTAAAATCAGATTTCACTCTGCATAACCACATCACTGGAGTTACTGTGAAAGATTCTACTGTTGGTTACACTGCAGAAGGCAGAGTGGTTTTGTTTCCTCAGAAGACTATCTGGTAACATTTTCATTTAGACATGGGAAAAAATATTCTGAACAACGACCTTTTTTAAACAGGTAATGTAATATACCAATGTGAGAAGCCAACTCTCCCTAAGCTTTTTGCTCTTCAAATGTTTTAAATTTGCTCCAAGTTTGAGTTTTATTTCTATTCTCCAAAGAAATGTCTCTTTTCCTTTCCTGTCCCCCAGTTTAAGCCGTTTTTAAAAAAAGGATCATTTTGGAGAGACAGTGAGACAGTGGAAGCTTGATAGGCACCAGACAAATATTGTGCCTCTCTCTGGTGTCTGTAATCTAAAAGAGATCAGAAATTTTAGACTCACGGGTGCAAACATGAGAAAGGATATGAGTGGATGTGCCTCTGAAGCTGCAGAAAGCTTTTTTGCCTTTAGCAGGAGGTAAGTGGAGAGGGAAAGATAATCCTCGCAGTTCCCTTTAGAGGACAGATGCCTAACTGCAGCTGGCCTTGGAGACGTAGGAAGTCTATCTTTGAACTGTAGGTAATAGAGTGTGAACGAGGAAATTTGAATTAAATTCTCAGTACTGCCATTGGTTTTGCCTCTGATTTCTCCCTAATTCAGCCTTCTCTTGTCAAAAAGGCTCTACCCTCTGTCTTGAAAACATTATGGAAGATACATGAGTAAACATCAGACATTCTTATAGTGCAATAAAGAAAACTATCCCACCAAATAAATGGAATATGGGCACGAGCAACTATGCATAGGGAAAAATGAAAATACACTTGACCAAAGATATAAGAAATAAAAAATACCTGCTAAAAATCTTCCTTTTATGTCAATATAAAAGGCATCAACATGTTTACTGTGCAGAAGAAAGCAATCTGAGATTATTGCTTGAGTTATCACGGAAAGTTTCATAGAAGAGAGTCAAATATGTCAACTGATCACAGAATACTTTGCTGTGTTTTACTGGAAACTCTAAGATTAACTTTTTGATTACACCACTAATATGATTGAAACAGGAACTTATTAACTTTTTTTATCCTGGAGACCAATTCCATTACCATTTTAAAATAAAAGCAAATTATCTCCATGGAGCATCTTACAAGTTTTAGGAAGAGAACAAATTACTGGAATTTGGCACATATAAATACACATTTCTTGTGTGCAGTTCTCAAGATGGGAAGTAAAAACAGATAAAGTGAATTCAAAATCAGATTACTTCCATTAAATTCAAAACCAGATTACTTCCATTGAAGTCCTCTACAGGATTTCTTCATATAATTTCTTTCTTCTGTTTTCATTCTTTGCTTATGTGTTAGTGAACAGTAAACAAGTCTTCTTAGTCGAAGATTCATGAAAAGATTGTGCTTAAAATCATCAGTGGTCTAAGCAGTACCGCAAATCCTCTGCTGAGTTATGAAACAAGATTAAATGGCAAAGTACTAGCTACTGAATCTGGTTATCATTTGCAGGCAATTCAATAACTTGATACTCTGTAGAGGTCAAATTCAGCACCTGTCATAATCATTGTAATTCCCAGTGAGATGACAGGGAGCCAAGTTCTGCTCTCAGTTCTGGTGGTACAAATATGATACATTTTTAACTGTAGTCAGCTAAATCACCCTAGATTACAGCTTTAATTAACAGAGGAATTTTCATATGCTTAAATCTGGGTTGCATTTTGGTTCATTAGGTAAAACTGAGTTTACAGTCCCAGGGTGATATTTAACCTTTTCCATAGCAGATGCAGCAGAATGTGTTATTTACTCTTAAAGCACAGGAGAATTTAGGGCCCTGCCATGGGACAGGGAGGTCTAGGAATGCAGCTCTTATCAAATCCCTTCAAGCTTTTGACTCATTGATACAGACAGTATGGGAGAAGGTGGTCATCCCATGTTTGAATGCAGAGAAAGCAAATTATTTCAAAAAGGAAAACTTGTGCCACAGAATGAAAAGATAAAAAGAAAGCATTAGCATCACATTATATATCCTTCAGTTTTTGAACTTCCAAATTATTTTCCTGCCTCCTTCAGCAAAAAGGAAAGCTTTTAGCATAAAGCGTCACCATCTGGCTTCCTAAGACTGGCCCAATAAATCAATTTTCCAAACTACAGTTAACTTCAGAACAGACTCTACATTCATTTCCACACTCATACTTTCACTGACAGCTCAGTACCTCCCCCTTTCTTTAGTAGCTGTTGCTTAGCAAGCCACTGGTTGTACTCACTGCGTGGACTGGGTTGCACTGATCTATTGGGCTTTTGAAGTCTGTCCGAAGTTCATCAAAGGCGATTATCTGAAAAACAGTTTTTTCAAATATTGTAATTAATGCTCATTCAAACTCTTATTTTTCCTTTAGGAAAATTAGATGCATTGCCTCCCTTCCTCCCTTTCCTAAGAAAATATGGGAAACTAGCTTCCCTGATACACTCCTTTAAGAACTAACTAGTTAAAACAAAACATGGGGTACTCCTACATATGACACCTAGAACCTCGTAATGTAGTATCATATCTATAGCCTTTTCAGCATTTCAGCTTTCCAGATTTCTTCCCTCATATCAGCTACAATTTTTTTCTCAAACTTCCAAATGATATAAAACTATTTCACAAACAAATGCATCTCCGGACTTGATGGAAAAAGTCATTAGCTGCCTAAAACACAGAGATGTATCAGATATGCTATTCCAGGTTTAATACATACACAACAGCCCCTTTTTATTAGTTGTTAAACCTAGTTCAGGTATTAGAGATGCATCAGATATGCTATTCCAGGTTTAATACGTACACAACAGTCCCTTTTTATTAGTCATTAAACCTACTTCAGATATTAATTCTGAATTACTATCAGCTTAATTATTATTAAGCCACTATTCATTATCAAGCAAACTCCTCAAAAGGTAAACTACTTCAGAGCAAAACATGCCCTTCCTAAATTTCGGTAGGTTTTGGAACCTTTACCTCAGACCTCATTAATGGAGACATGCCTTTTGCTCATGTCCTTTAGTTTCCTCCATTAACTGATGGATTCAGACACACTGGTAATCACTGCCTGCTTTTAAAGTACAGCAGATAAAAGTGCCCATAAAAATAATACTGTTTGATAATGTTTTCTTGGAAAGAAAACAGCTGTAATAACCCTCAGCATATTTCATTCAAAGATCTCAAAGCACGATCTTAACTTTATTTTATGTTTGTGTTCTAGTAATAACTTTTCTTCTGCTTGCTTCACCCAAGAAATGAAAGCTCACTATGACACGCACCACATAAATACATGTTAAAACAATGATTTCTCTTTAGACAATTTACAACCCAGGAAAGCATTTGTCTCGATAAAAAGATGATGGAAGTACAAGGTAGCAGTTGGGTAATTAGTATATGAGTGGAACAACCATTCTATGACATGTTACAGAATGCCTGCTGCCTAGCTGTTCAAACAGCTGGTCAACACAGACCCGCTGTTTAGGTAAAACACATTTCTTTTACAAATATGGAATGCAGGAGTAGAAATCCTGAAAATGACCTATCCATGATTTATATAATAATCTGGTGAGAGGCTTGAGAATAAAACCTAGAGCTACAATCCACAAATCTAAGCATTACTCTGCATCCCACTCTAATGCTGCATTCATCACACTGAAGCACATTTAAAATCAAAAGTGTGGCATTTTACAAGAGCACTCTACAGAACTCAATTTATTCAACTATGACAAGTCAAAGTGCCAGAATAAACCACAAAGAGAACTATAAAACGTGATTATAAGTGAAGCATTTCTCCCCACGGACGCAGTATCTCTACTAGTTAGGAATCAGATCTGCAACAGATGTTTAGACTAAGGTAAAAGAACAAATAACAGAAACCGTGAGTGGGTCAGAGTACAGTTGTGAAGAACAAGGCTTATGACACCTCTATATTTAATACTTCTTGAACAGGTCTTCATATTCTCAAGCTGGGCCAACTGTTAAGAGGGCAACAACCACGCAAGTCAGACGCACATGCTTCTGTTTGTAACTGGGTATCAACATCAGCACTGACAGCATTGATAGAAAGGGGGAAGGATAGCCCTGTAACAGGTAAGAGAGCTGCCTCTGTTCATAGCTGTGCCACTGATTTACTTTGGGATCCTGTACATCTGCCTTAAATTCTCTTTGCCTCACTGCACTGGTACTTACAGACGTAGCTTTAAGATATAAAACTATTATGAGCTTTGAGTGACAACTGTTTTTACTAATGTACAGTGGTAACAGCTTTTTTCTGTTGTAAATGTAGAGATGAGGTGAAATTCCCTTGGG